TTTGGGATATTTTTGGGGGGGTTTTGGGGATATTTTTGGGATATTTTTGGGGGGGTTTTGGGGATATTTTTGGGGGGTTTTTGGGATATTTTGGGGATATTTTTTGGGGGGTTTTTGGGTTTTTTTGGGATTTTTTTTGGTTTTTTGGGGATATTTTTGGGATTTTTTTGGGATATTTTTGGGATTTTTTGGGATAGTTTTTGGGATATTTTTTGGGATATTTTCGGGGGGATATTTGGGATATTTTTTGGGATATTTTTGGGATTTTTTGGGATATTTTAGGGATATTTTTGGGGGTTTTTGGGTCTCACCTCCCCTCCCTCCCCTCCCCCAGCTCTTCCCGAGGGTGCGGCCGCAGCGGAAGAAAATCTGAGGGGGGGGTGGGGCCTGGACCCCTCCCCAAATTCAGCCCCTCCCCCCCCCTCCCCCTCCCCCCGGTGTCCCCTCCCCTTTCCCGGGTTTTTTTTGGGAATTTTTGGGAATTAAAAGCCTTTGGATGCTGTTTTGGGGAGGGGTCTCCGGAGTTTTCTGTCATTTGGGGAGGGGGACACCGAGGGATGGAAACGGATTTTATTGGCACGGGGAGGGGGGGTCCCGAAATTCCTGCTCCGTCCCAAAAAATTCCTGCTCCGTCCCAAAAATCCCATCCCAAAAATCCCATCCCAAAAAATCCCAGCTCCATCCCAAAAAATTCCTGCTCCATCCCAAAAATTCCTGCTCCATCCCAAAAATTCCTGCTCCATCCCAAAAATTCCTGTTCCATCCCAAAAAATTCCTGTTCCATCCCAAAAATCCCAGCTCCATCCCAAAAAATTCCTGCTCCATCCCAAAAATTCCTGCTCCATCCCAAAAATTCCTGTTCCATCCCAAAAAATTCCTGTTCCATCCCAAAAAATCCCAGCTCCATCCCAAAAAATTCCTGCTCCATCCCAAAAATTCCTGTTCCATCCCAAAAAATTCCTGTTCCATCCCAAAAAATCCCAGCTCCATCCCAAAAAATCCCGGCTCCATCCTAAAAAATCCCGGCTCCATCCCAAAAAATCCCGGCTCCATCCCAAAAATCCCGTTCTATCCCAAAAGATTCCTGTTCCGTCCATCCCAAAAATCCCATCCCAAAAATTCTGTAACATCCCAAAAAAATCCGGCTCCGTCCCCAAATCCCGTTTTATCCATCCCAAAAAATTCCTGTAACATCCCAAAAAAATCTGGCTCCGTCCCCAAATCCCGTTTTATCCATCCCAAAAATTCCGGCTCCATCCCGAAAATCCAGCCGGGAACGAGGGGGGAGGGGAAATCTGGGATGAGCCGGGGTGGGGGGGGGGCTGGGAAGGTCCTGGAAGGTTCTGGAAAGTTCCGGGAGGTTCCGGGAGGTTCTGGGAGGTTCTGGGAGGTTCCACGGATGATTCCCAAGGAATCCCAAATTCCCCAACGATGATGGAGCCGCTCTGGGGAGGTTCTGGGATGTTCCGGAAGGTTCTGGGATGTTCCAGAAGGTTCTGGGATGTTCTGGGATGTTCTGGGATGTTCTGGGATGTTCCGGAAGGTTCTGGGATGTTCCGGGAGGTTCTGGGATGTCCTGGGAGGTTCTGGGATGTTCTGGGACGTTCCAGAAGGTTCCATGGATGATTCCGATCAGGAATTCCCTATTTTCCCGCGATCAGGGGGTTCCGGAGCACCACGGTGACGGAGCCTGGGATGTTCCAGAAGGTTCTGGGATGTTCTGGGATGTTCCGGAAGGTTCTGGGATGTTCTGGGATGTTCTGGGACGTTCCAGAAGGTTCCATGGATGATTCCGATCGGGAATTCCCTATTTTCCCGCGATCAGGGGGTTCCGGAGCACCACGATGACGGAGCCTGGGATGTCCTGGGATGTTCTGGGATGTTCTGGGATGTTCTGGGACGTTCCGGAAGGTTCCATGGATGATTCCCATCGGGAATTCCCTATTTTCCCGCGATCAGGGGGTTCCGGAGCACCACGATGACGGAGTCTCCGCGCAGGAACATCTTGGAGATGTACCGGTCCTTGTTGACGGGTTTGGATTTCTTCTTCCCTTTGCCGCTCTTGGGCACCTCCGTCCACATCTCCTTGACGTTCTCCAGCACCATGTTACAGTGCCTGCCGGGAAACACCGCGGGATCGCGACGGGAAACACCGCGGGAAACACCACGGGAAACACCACGGGAAACAC